CTGGTATGGAGCTAATGAAATAGGACCCACAGCCGGCAACAAATCAATGGAGAACTCTATCTCCCTCTGTGGCGGAAACTCGAGAATCTCCTCAAGAAACACCTCGAGGAATTCCCTCACCACAGGAATGCCGATAATATCCTCCTGTGTCTTACTCACCAAACCTTCCAACATGACATAACTGAATGCCCCTGCTCTCAAGGCTCTTCTAGCCTGTAGCACTGATATGTAAGGAGAAGAACTGGCAGTGGAATACACGGAGACCTCACCACTTTCTTCGCACAGCAATCAATCATCACACAATTCTTGGACAACCAGTCCATGCCAAGGATGATCTTCAAATTAGCCATCGGTAATCCGATCAGATCTACCGAGTACTCACGGCCATACCATTAAAACACGACATTGCAATGTGCAGCGGAGGTATCACTTTTCTCCGGTGGCGGTAGTAACCCACAACAGTGGAGAAAGCACAGAAATAGGCAACTCAAGCCCCACAGCAATTGGGGTCGCGATGAAGGAATGCTTAGCCCCAGAATCAAATAACACATCAACTGCACAACTACCAATGAAAACGGTACCTCTCACAAGGTTCGGAGCTCTGTCCGACTGCTGCCGATCCAAAGTGTAGACTCGGCCAGTGGCTGGTGGCACGACAGGTGCCGCTGTAGGTGCAGTAAGAATCATCTGCAATGGAATCGCCTGAACTACTGCAGCTCTAGCAGCTGACGAAGGACAATCTCTGGCATAGTGAACCTCCTTGCCACAGTGGAAGCAAATGAGATTACCGATGGCACACGACCCAACACGGCCCAAATGAGATGACCGGAAAGCATTCAGCCGACGGTCTCGCGTCTCCTGGTCCTCCGCAGGCTCAAAGTAAGGCTGCATCAATCCCGTGAGGTGACTCACACCCTCCATGCGACTCTGACTATCGTCCTCATGAACGTGCGCCCCACCTCCTCCAAGCCCATCCTGGTGACTGGGTGGAGACGGCGGCGGCGGCGGTGGCTGTGGAGGTGGTGGCGGAGGATGCTGGCCACCAACATGACCAGTCCTCATCTCCTCCAACATGACCCTCATCATGGTCATGTTTGCCAGCCGGTTCGCCTCGAGCACATCCTCTGTAGCTTTTCGGTTCGCCTCTTTAATGGCGTCTAACATTGCCTGATTGGCCACTCTAATGGCCTCCTGGTCGGCTTGTCTAGCCGCCTGCATCCCAGCTAATGCAGTCAGGACCGGGTCAGACTGACCCTCTCTCATCTCTCGAGTCCTCCAGGGAAGTACCATGACTCTGCATAGGTTACACAAAGAATGAGTTGATCTGGCTCACACAATGTGGTCGGTCACGCATGCATCATCATAGTAAAACCCTAAAGAAACTGAACAGACAATTCTCACAACAATTCATCCTAAATTATTGCAATACATACAGGCTTTTTCCCTAGAAAGTGCTCTGATACCATAAAATGTAACACCCCGTGTGCGCCGGGTGTATTAACATACAAATGGTAATGGCGTAGCTAATCAAATGCGAAAACTAGCTTTTTCTTTCCAATTATGTGCATATTAAATTAACCAAGTTGATTACTTATCCTTTTTCAAAATATCGTCTGTATGTAAATTGCAATAAATAACTAACTGAATAATCTCATAATATAAATAACTGTGATATATAGTCACGGAACTACAACACGTAGACCGGACAATAATCCTGATACATTATACAACTCAAATAAAATAAGACATAACTGATGTCAATGTGGCATGGACAACCTCCATGCTCACCAAATAAGCAACACATCCCAATCAATGTCTCAACTCAAATGACAATATACTGAAATGAAGCATGGTAAACATCCAGGCATATCAGCAAAAACAGCATGCATGTCAACTCAACTCCGGCCTCCTGCTGCTAGAGGTATGAACCCCCGAGGTACCTGTACCTGGAAATATGCCCCAACACGGGGTGAGATCTCTAAAAAGAAATCTCAGTAAGACAAGGGGTCCTCAAGGATCTCTCCACCCCTAGCTCACTCACATGTGCAATATAAGTTCCAAAACAGTATAATAATATCATTTTCAAAATCTGTGCAATGTAGCTTATATCCATGTCAGGTGTGTAAAAATCCTACTGGCCAGAGAATAAAAATGTAGGGATTACATACGTCTACAACCTACAGTACAAGGAACACCGCTTGAACCTCACCCACGGGTTGCCATCTTGTATGTCTCCACATACTTAGGATTATCGTCTAGGTGGTACATCTCATACATATCATGTGGTCCTTGCACTCAAATAAACAGCTCAATAGCATTTCAGTAATCATCACATAATTTCATAAAAACACAGTATGCATATAACCATCCCTCCATGAGGTATGGTGGAACCAATAATGGGCAAAACCGAGGACACGAAAGCTTACCTCTCAAGCTTACTGTCCAATTAAGAGTCCACATCACTCCAAGGTCACCCAACAGCACAATCACAGTCTGTTTATATCATAAATAATCATTAATATTCATAGCCCAAGGTTTCACTAAGTGTTTAAGACATTTCCAACTTGTTTTAAGTGATTTTAGGCTTAATCTGCAGGAGGTATTCGAATACTCCTCGATGAGTATTCGAATACTCAATGTCTCCAGAAAGTATTCCAATACTTTCACTAAAGTATTCGAATACCACAAAGTATCCAAGTACTTTTCCCACGGTATCCGAATACCACACAGTATCCGAATACTTTCACTACAGTATTCGAATAACACACAGTATCCGAATACTTCCACTAAGGTATCCGAATACTTTTCTACCCAGAAAAGTATCCCAATCCTCTTTGATAAGTATTCGACTACCTGCTGATGAGTATTGGAATACTTATCAGACAGAATGCAGAAACTCGTGCAGTTTCTGCATAAACACCAATTTAAGAGTCCTTCCATGATTTGGAGTCCAATAACTCCACAAACAGAAGTTCATTAATGTATTTTAAACATAGTTTGTCAACCTTTAACTTGAATGATCAAAGTTTCTCTTTTTAATGACTCAAACAAGCTAAAACCATGAAATTTCAACAGGAATGATCATGAGTTACCTATAGGCTCAAAAACTCAGAAAAAGGAAGTGGCTTGGAGTTTCCAACATAGCTCAAAGGTTCTGACTTTGCAAGGCCACGAATTTGACACACAAGCTTGGTCTTTTACACTTAAAGATGGCTTTTTGAAGCCTCCAATGACATGTAAGTGGCTCCCACAACCCCAAACCCAAGTGGACAGCCTCAAACTCCTATCTCAGCAGCCTATCACTCAGAAATGAAACACCCAACTCCCTCACAATACTAACTAATTCAGTGTTTACAACTTCAATGAAGAAGAATCAATGTAAAGGTGAGTTCTTGGCTCAATTTTGGTGCATGAGACTCAAGTCTAAGAAGAGAGGAAATGGCAGAAGACACTCAGCAAAGAGGCACGTAGAAACTGATAGGAATCAGCCTAGGGTTTTGTGCCAAATCACTACTTATATATGCATTAAGTTAATCTGTCGGTATTAGCACTAATAGCTCCGCTCATCATTTTAATTTCAAACTTCCTATTCTGAATCTAGCCATTTTTCTAGGATTTGTCATATTTTTATTATAATTTTCGCAGTACTTTGCTGGTACGCGTTTTTACGTAGCCGGTATCAGTCCTGACATCAGTTCTCATTATTTTGACTCCAAACTTTACATACCAGTCAAAATATTATTCTAGGAATAATCATACACTTGTTATAATTTTTTGGGATACTTCATCGGTACGCACTTATACCGTGAAGCAGAACCGGTATTTGCACTTTTCGTCAGAAAAGCGACTTTCAACATTATTAAGCACTTACTATAATTATTTACGCCCTCTCATAATTATTCAAGGTCAATTATGGAATTATTCTTTAATTTCATCATTAAGTTATTTAAATTCCTAATTTAACGGTGCGGGTTCTTACACCACCCATTTGGATGCAAACTGTTAGAGAATAATATAAACAATTAAAAAAATCTTCACCCACACTGTAAGGTTTTGGGTTGAATTAGTTCTTTACATGGTATCAAAGCTTCAGTGACCACAAGATCGCGAGTTCGATTCTCACCACCGCTCACTTGTGGAATGAAATAAGCATAAGGTAAAAATTTAAATAAAATTGGTCCTATGCAATTTCCACGTTTCAAGCCCAAAGGGCTTTTACGTGAGGGGGTGTATCAGAGAATAATATAAATAATATAAACCATTAAAAAGTCCTTCACCCAACAGTTTAAGGTTTTTGGTTGTATTAGTTCTTTACACAGACCATTGAAATTATAGTGCTACAGAATTAGAGGATGTAGTTCCTAAGAAAAGCTATCCAGCTGTTTGTAGAGTTTATTCTCGTAAGCAGAAACCGTTTAAAGATGTTGAAGGTAGTTAGTTAGAAAGGAGGATAGTAGTTGGGCTTTTTGGATAAATAGACTTGTGTGATTGGACGGGGGGTTGAGTTTTTTTGTCAGTCTCATAAGGAGAGTCCAATTGTGAAGGGAATATTTCCCTTGTCGAGGAGCTAGTCTCTTGTAACTTTCCTTTTTCAAAATCAATGACCATTCTCTGTTTCTAAAATTCTTTCCAGTTGCTCTGACTTTTGTATTGTGAATCGTTTTAGCTATAACACAGTTTTTGGTAGTGAATTTGGAAAAGGGAATAGAAACCAAATAATTTGAAATTGATAGTAATTTGATGTGATAAAAAATATAGAACACTATTTACAAAAAAAAATAAATATATAGAACACTAAACCCTATTTACACTAATACTAGACTCCTAATCCTAATAAAGTGAGGAAACAAATCATGAAATATGGAAATAACTTTTTAAGAGATTATCTAATACACTTTAAACATGTTACAAACTAATACTTTAAAAGAAGTAACATAAAAAAGTGGATTCCATAAAATATGGTTGGCAAGCTATGTAATCAATATTCTTCCTTGTTATAGGGGTCATGGTCTCGTTCTTCAAATTCCTATTTGGCTGTGGAAAAACCCTTAGCAGCAGAGGCAACATCTGGAGATTGGGAAATAGATAGGAAGTTATTGAAGATAGGAGAACGAATAGCATCTGGATCCGGTGGAGATTTGTAAGTTGGGTTGTTCTACGGGTGGATTATTTATGTTCCTTTCTTGTCTTCTCCCTTGTCACACTTTTTATCGTTTTGCTTCTAATTGACCTCATGGTTCATCCACAGGTATCGAGGAGTTTATCTTGGTCAAGATGTTGCTGTCAAGGTTCTGAGGTCTGAGCAATTGAATGATGCTTTAGAGGATGAGTTTTCTCAAGAAGTGGCAATCTTGAGGTCAGTATTTTACCACACTTGGTTTAAGATCCATACTGCAACAATGCATAATTTTTCTGTTTTTCTGATAAATATTTTCTATGAATTCACGTTGTGAAAGATTATGAAACAATGGTCGTTGTTGTGCATTAGAATTTTTATTTTTTATTTTTTCACTTATATTAATCATCTTCTCTTTTTCTTGAGGAGTACATATTGAAATTGGACAGGAAAAAATTGAAATATTAACTGATGTACCAAGTCATGGAAGTAGTTTATGGTGCAGCATGCTACAAAACAGTCAGTTTTAATTTTCTTACAAAAGGAAAGAAGAATAAACTGCTTAGATATCTTCGTCCCTATCCCAGTTCATCACCTTCATAATAATAAGAAACCTTTTACTTTTTGTAATTTTTTAAAATGGGTTATGAAATTTATATTAGTTGAAGGAAAAAAGATGAAAAATATTATTGATCGTCGAAAAAACATGTACAAAGCAATACGATATATATGGAGACCAATGGGCGTAAAGGAATAAATTCAAATCCTAAAAAAGTAAGGAAACATAATCTGGCTACCAACATCAACATCAATATCAACAATACCTTTATCTCAAACTAATTGGGGTCGGTGGTAGATGAACCTAAATAATAAAGGAAATAATAAAGGAAATAAATACATAATCTAATTAATAAAGGAAATAAATAATAAAAAATATCTTCCATATTTACAACACTACCCCTCAAGTTGAGAAATGTATATTTATCATTCCTAGCTTGCTAGTAAGTTTTTGAAATCTGTTAATAGGAAGTCCCATGTTTAAGACATTAGCTAGTTGGCAACTAGAAAGAATATATGGAGTAGTGATCAATCCACTATCTAGCTTCTCTTTGATGAAGTGGCCGTCGATCTCAATATATTTCATTTGGTTATGTTAGATAGGAGTATGTGCTATAGCGATGACTGACTTATTATCGCAGAGTAATTTCATAGGTTCTTCAAATTTCATTTTGAGATCTTCTAGAAGTCCACAAAAAAACATACAATTTCTTGAGGTAGATCGTCGATTAATCATAGATCCATCATAATCAATGTTAGTATAAACTTTCAAGGATAACTTTCCCTCTCTCTTGACTAGTAGTCCTTTCCATCATAATCATAATATTGGAGAATTATCCTTGCAGTATGCAGGTGTTTTTCCCTTGGGCCATGCATGAACTGGCTGATGTTGCTAACTATATAAGTTAGATCAAGTCTAGTATGACCTAGTGTTGTAAATAGTATTGTATTATTTAGATTAGTATTTTATTATTTAGATTACTGTAGAAGCTTATTTGGGTTTAGCCTATTAAGTCATTTAGTCTCTTTAAATAGAGAGCTCTTCTACAGTTATTTACATAATTCAATAATAAAATCTTCCTTTTCAAGTTGGTATCAGAGTTCTCGACTTTGAGGGCCTTGCTTCTGCTATTGCCGCCTTTAGTGCGAAACCCTTTTTTCCTTTTCCGGTTTCCTCGACACAAGCTGGAGCCGAAATTTTTTTTGGGGACCTTTTGGACCGAGAAGACAATCGTTTGACTTGTTTTTTTGGGATCTTTCATTCTATGGTGGTTTCGTGACTAACTGAAGCCCCTAACAACTTGAAAACTCCTCAACCACACCTGCAATTTCTGGGCGCCCACTTTTCCGGCCATTTTTCACCTTCGACCACTCATAGACACTGTCGCCTTCTCTAGATCGATCAGCCCTCAATAACCCACCGTCATCGAAGCTCACCCGCACACCCTTCCTTCTCTACGCGTGGAGGGGTGATTCTGCCTTGGGTCACCGTCATTTGGATCGTCTTGACTTCTACTTTCTGGATTTGTGGTTGTTTTGGAGATTGGATACTGTTTGGCTAGTGCACCTTTGTTTTTCCCCTTAAAAAGTTATCTTTTTTGGCTTTTTGGATCTTTTTCGGACAAATTTGACTCTGTTGCTTCTGTTTGGACTCAAACTTGAAGTTATTTTGCTATTTGGGCTCTCCGTAGACTTTTGTGACTTCACTGGTAATTACCTACTTCTTTTGTGTTGTTTTCTTTGATCTGTTTTTGTCCAGAGGACGTTGCTACACCTATTGTAAGAGTGCTGGACACATATGAGACGTGTTTTCGTCTTCATGTAAAGTGTGATAATGCTACTCCATATATGCAGAAGAGTGTCCTCCAGTTGATAAAGGGCAATATTAACGGTTAGTTGAGATATTGATATATCTAGCTCATACTAGACCAGATTTAGCTTATGCTATTAGTATTGTCAGTCAATTCATGCATAATCCGAGAGAAAAACACATGCAGATAGTGGAAAGAATTCTTCAGTATCTTAAAGGTAATCATGGCAGGGGACTACTATTTTGGCATGATGGAAATCTTTCCTTATAAGTTTACATTGATGCTGATTATGCTAGGTCAATGACTGACTGTCGATCGACCACTGGTTATTGCATGTTTCTTTGTGGTAATTTAGTGACATGGAGAAATAAGAAACAAGATGTGGTTCCTAGGTCAAGTGCAGAGGCGTAGTTTCGAGTGATGACCCAAGGTATTTGTGAATTATTGTGGTTAAAAATTATACTTGATTATCTCCGGATAAAATGTGAAGGACCTAAGTCCTCAATCTGTATAGCTCATAATCCAGTCCAACATGATCGAACTAAGCATATTAAGAACGACCGTCGTTTCATTAAAGAAAAACTTGATAGCGGGCTAATCTCTACTCCATACATTCTCTCTGGGCATCAATTAGCTGATGTTTTGACAAAATGACTCTCCACAGATAGATTTCAAGAACTTACTAGCAATCTGAGAATGATAAACATCTATTCTTCAGCTTGAGGGGGAGTGTTGTAAATAATATTGTATTATTGTTGTAAATAATATTGTATTATTTAATTTAATATTTTATTATTTAGATTACTCTAGAAGCTTCTTTGGGCTTAGCCCATTAGGTCATTTAGTCTCTTTATATAGAGAGCTCTTGTACAATTATTTACACAATTCAATAATACAATCTTCCTTTTCAAGTCCTAGATATATCAATTTTCCTACCGGGCGTTGATATTGCCGTTTATCAAATAGAGGGCTTTCCTCTTTGTTTCCCAGTTTATGATTCTGCTCAATTGGAGTATTAGAAGATTTACACCCAAGCTTTCCTGTTTCTTTAAGGAGATCATGAACATGCTCTCTTCGACAGATCAAGATTCCTTGCTTTGAATGGGCAACCTCTATTCTAAGGAAATATCTCAATTTTCCAAGGTCTTTAACTTCAAATTCAGTAGTTAGTCTTTCTTGAAGAGCACGTTTCTCAATTGTATCATCCCCTGTTATAATAATGTTATCAACATATACTAGGAGAATAATGAGCTTACCTTCTTAGGAGTGTTTAAAGAAAAGTGTGATCTCTTTAACTTTGCTTATATCCCAATGATAACATAAACTTGGTAAATCTTCTAAACCAAGCACGTTGGGAGTGCTTCAACCCATGTAGGGTCTTTTTTAACTTACACACTTCATTATCTCCATTTGTGGAGTCAAATCCTAGTGGAAACTCCATGTAAACTTCCTCTTCTAACTCGCCATTGAGGAATGAATTCTTCATATTAAATTGGATCAAGACCCAATTAAAATTGAGCGGCCTAGCACAATAGGACTCTCACGGTGTTCACCTTGGCCACTCGAGTAAATGTTTTTTCATTAACGATGTTGTATGTTTGCGTGTATCCCTTGGCTACTAATTGAACCCTATACTTGTCAAGAGTACTATCTGAATTATATATCAGATCTGCACCCCACTGCTTTCTTTCCGCTAGGCTTATCAACAACTTCCAATTTCTATTTTTCTCCAAGGCATTCATCTCGTCATGCATGGCTTGAACCCAATTCTTATCTTTTAATACTTCATGCATTCATGATGGGACTGAAATGGAAGTGCTGAAATAAAGCATTTATGCTTCATAGAAAGTTTATTAGAAAAGAAAAAGTGAGAGATAAGGTGTTGGGTACAAGACCTTTTCTCTTTCCTAAAGGCAATGGGTTACTAATCATGATTTATAATATTAGGTGTAGGAATAGAAATACTAGTGCATTCAGTACTCACCTGTGGTTCAGGCGATCGCAATTTTTGGTGGGGCAGTGTGGGTTCTTTCTTCCCCTTATACAATAATTCAGGTGTCCCAGCCTTTTGTAGATTAGCCTTCTGAACATTGTTAAGGGGGGCATGTAGGATGAAATATCAGATGAACTACTAGCCTCATCAACTAAGTCTTCCTGCTCATTATCAACCTCGTCAACTAAATCTTCCCGCTCATTATCACGTAGTGCAATAATTGGGGTAGATTCAATAAAATCTGACTTAGGAGGTTTAGGCAAAGATTAATGGGACTTAGACTTGAAGAAAATGGACGAAGTTTCTGAATTTGTCTCCCCCTGAAGCTGAGGACGAGTGAAGAATGGCCCAGATTCATTATTAGTGACATCCATGGAGATAAAAAACTTGTGACTCGAAGGATGATAGCATTTATACCCCTTTTTGTTGGGGATATATCCCAAGAAGATGTACTTAAAAGCTCGGGGATCCAATTTACCGCGGTGCTATTTATGAACATGGACGAGTGCAACACACCAAAAGATGCAAGACTGAAGGCTCTGCATAATAGGGACATATGGAAAAAAAAGGTCATAAGGTGAACAGGGCTTACATTTCCAAGAATCTGATAGGGTAATCACTTGATCAAATATGTTGCAGTCATCACAGCCTCTCCCCAATAAGAGCTCAGAACATATGTCTGGAAAAGTAATGCATTAGCCACTTTAAGTAGGTGACGGTTTTTCTTCTCGGCAACCCCATTTTGTTGAGGGGTATCGAGACATATGAGCTCATGAATCATGTCGTTGTCCTTAATAAATTGTAAGAGTTGTTGATTGATGTATTCAGTACCAATATCAATCCTTAGTCTTTTAATGTTTTTTACAAACTGGGTCTCAACCAAGTGATGGAATTGGATGAATAACTGTGGCATGTCCGACTTGTCCCTCATTAGGAAAATCCCAATTACTCGGGTACAATTATCAATGAATGAAACAAATCACTTAGCACCTGAGAGATATTGTGTACTTTAGATTGTCCTCAAACATCAGGGTGAACAAGATCAAATGGTTCGACACTTTTTATTGAGCTAGAAGGAAATGATGTACAATGGTGTTTTGCAAACTCTGACATCAGAATGAAGTGATTCAACAGACATGTACTTGAATAGGGTCAGAAACAGTTTTGAGAAGACTAAAAAGTGGATGCCCCATACGATTGTTTTGAAGCCAAATTATAGGCTCTGAAGTGGATTGGTTATGAGCCACTGGCAACTGTTCCCGGGCACTATTTGCTATATGTTCTTGAAGGAGATAAGTTAACCCACCCGGTTCCATAACGACTCCAATCGTCCTCCCCGCGATGAGTCCCTGAAAGACAATGTGTAGGAAAGAATATTACGGTACATTTAAACCAGTGGTAAGTTTGTAAATGGAGAGAAGATTGTGAGAGAGTTTAGGAACATGGAGAACATTTTTTAGATATAAGGAGGGCCGAACTTGAATCGTACTAAAACCTGCAACTGATATATGGTATACAGCAGCTGTAGTAATAGTACAAATACTAGTAATGGGTTGATAAGAGAGAAATGTATTAGGTTAACAAGTCATATGATTAGTCACAACAGAGTCAACAATTCATAACCTCTCAAAATCAATGCCAGAAGCCAAAAGAGATTGAATACATATGTCCTTACCAGTTATAGCAAGAGTGCAAGAGTAAAATATCTTACTAAAAGTATCCATAACGATTCACAAACTAATGTGCTAGCTTGGTTGAGTTACTGGAGATCCCAAATAGCGATAAAAATGTCAAATTTGAGCAATGGAAGCCTGAATGAACAAAAGAAAAATCTGAGCTTTATGGGAAAATAAAGACCAACGACCCAAACGGTGTCAGATTGAAAAGATGATGACAGATCTGGAAAGAGAAGGCCGAGGCAAGCACGACGATAGTGAGCAACAATCGAGATGATGCTTTATCGTCGTCAAAAGCAGCGGTTGAAACTTTCCGGTGTGTGTGAAGGCACGTGGAGCTATTCTGGGACGCAAGGGTGTTTTAGAATTGTAGATTTGGAGATTTTGAGCAAAAAAGTTGCCTTCTTGACCAAAAAAAGTCGCAGGAGAAATTTCCTAGTGGTTGCTATTGATTGTAAAAGTGACTGGAAGTTGAGGCACAACAGCTGCGGAAGAGGATCCGCACTAAAGGTGGTAACTTGGACGCACTAAATATGTAAAGATGAAAATCCAGATGGAGAGCTCTGATGTCAACTCGAAAGGAGAAAAATTGAAAAATATTATTGATTCTCAAAAAAACATGTACAAAGGAATACGATGTATATAAAGAGACTAATGGGCTCAAGGAATAAACTCAAATTTTAAAAAAATAAAGAAAGATAATCTGACTACTAAAAGAAACAAATAATTACATAATTTGACTAATAAAGGAAACAAAAATACATACCTTTCATATTTACAACAATATTGATTTTACTTGTGGTGACAAAATGGAATCTCTAGTAATTAATTTTACCTTGTCATTGTTTTCATTTACATTATTTATAGTTTTGCAAGTACTTTCATGCTCTCAGGATTTGAATTCAAAGTTATTTTGCATTCTGACCTTTTGTCGTTTTGGTTCTGTCCTGCTTTCATTCTCTTCCCTGAAGATCTTTTAATAAATTGACTTTTGTATTACTAATGCAGGCAGGTAAATCATAACAATGTTGTTCGTTTCATTGGTGCATGTACAAAGTCTCCACATTTGTTTATAGTAACAGGTATGGATCTCTTTTTTTTTTTTAATTATTATTATTAATGTTGTTACAGTTGGGCAAGATTCAATATGAACAAGAGAAAGTATGAAATGAAAGAAAGAACAATTTTTTGTTGATTAACAAGGAGTACAAGAACAGAATCAACAGATTACAAGAGTAAGACTCTCCTTCACACTTCTCAGTCAATCTACAATACACCCAGATGCCTTCCTAATGGGGATAGACTACTTGTATACACTTACCCCTGTTTCCCACTAGACTCCCGACAAAATAACTACCTAGTAACTAACCTGTCATCTAAGAATAACCGTAGTACTACTACTTGTGTATATTCCTTGGGGAATATACTTTCCCGAAAGTAGGCTCCTCCCTTCCTGATTGGTATGTGTAACAGGAGACTAGAAGGTTCCTAAATCATGCTAATACAAATTAAGAAAAGTGAGAGTAGACTTGTTAATCCGTGTAGCTTTTTAATGTTACCAGAAAAGTGGGGATACCCTTCAGAAAATCTGTTCCCTAATCTGAGGTTGTATGGAGCTTAGGGTTTTTTGTTCAGATATACATGTGTCCATTCAGGTATGTTTATTATGCTAAGGGTCCAAATTCCTATTAATTGCATTGGCCTTGATATTTTGGCTCATTCCGAGATTAGACTCTTATAAGTATCAGAACAGGGAAAGAAAAATTGAAAAGAAAACTTGTATTGATATATTGGAACCTGAAAAGAGGTCCAATGAAGATTATAATCTTGTGTTTAAAAGAAAATTACTAAAGAGGAATTGAAATTACAAGTAAGCAAATGAGCAAGAACAATTGCCAATGATAGATTACTTTCCAGAACATTAGAGTGGTTCTGATTCTCTCCCAAAAGCCCAAAGATCCCAACTAAACAAGATGCCTCCCAAAATGATACTCTTTCCCTTTTGATATTTTCATTAGCTAACAGAATTTCCCTGCAATTCCCCACTCTTTTGCCAGCTGGCCAGCCTAGAATCTTCTTCCATAATTGACTATTCCACCTATAGTCGTATCAATACCACCCCCCTAGAGTTTCACCTTGTCCCCAAGGTGAGGGAAACAGCGACAATTTTCCCCTGACATCCCATTGCATGAAATTTAAGGACCAACTTATGTTTGAAGCATAATGATGACTTCCAATAATAGTGCTCTTAGAGCCAAATCGAATCCACCATTCTGAAGCTGCAATCTCAAGGTTACCAACACATTCAAATAACGCTTGAAATGCAAATAGAAGATTTCGCAACGGTTCCTGCTGACCATAATAGGCTAATTTAATATGACAACTTCTAAATTGCAGCTTAAGTTCACAAAGGGCAGCAACATAATTTTGTTCAATAGTCCCCTTTGCAACTTTCTCCCAATCTCTGAAAAATACCGTAAGAGCAAAAATTGCAGCTTGCAGTTTTTACTTGTTTTTGACAGAGTCCAAGAACCAGAAAAGCTTGATGTGTCTTATTTAGATCCTTATCTTGATCTTATTTGGCAAACTCCTCAAAGCCATCCCCTTTCTGTTTTTCAATGAGTCCAAAAAATCAACATAGAATGCAGCTATGAGTTCTCTATCTGATCTTTTTATGATTGAACCAAGTTGTTCATGCACAACCTTAGCCTCAATTTAATTACCTTTTATAGGTAAGCAATTTAGCCTTGCAGGGTTATCCTGTGCTATATTTATGTAATCACAACATAATCGGTATCTTTTACCAAAAGCTTAAACAAAATTGTCATATACAACACCTAACCTTGAAGACGCCCCTCCAACAAGGTGTTGAAAACAGATCCTCTACTCTGTCATTTTTACAACCACCTAGCATATGCTCTCCTTAAGGGAAAACCTAGAGAACAATGCGAGATTACAATTTTGGCTCTACTCTCTCTGTCATTCCGAGATTAGACTCTGATAGGTATCAGACCAGGGAAAGCAAAATTGACAAGAAAACTTGTATTGATATATTGGAATCTGAACACTGGGCCAAAGAAGATTACAATCTTGTGTTTAAAAGGAAATTTCAAAAAGAGGAATTGAAATTGCAAGTAAGCAAATGAGCAAGAACAATTGCCAATTACTTTCCAGAACATTAAAGAGGTTCTGGTTCTCTCCCAAAAGCCCAATGGTCCCAACTAACCAAGATGCCTCCCAAAATGATACTCTTTCCCTTTTTTATATTTTCATTAACTAACAGAATTTCCCTCCAATTCCCCACTCCCTTACCAGCTGCACAACCTAGAATCTTCTTTCATAACTGACTCTTCCCCGTATAGTCGAATCAAACTCCTGGGTGCATAATGTTATTCAACCATTAGAACATAACCCCGGTTTTCATCCAGTCAAAACTAGGGCTGCTACATTTTTTTGAGTCATTGGCTTCACTCGTATCTTCTCGTACAGTTACACTCTTTCAACTTATGTTTTATCATCTCATACACCTTTGCATGTCTTTATTCATTTGTCCAACAAATTATTTGAAGGCATACAGCTATATAAGTTTTGGTTTGACTGTTAGTAATTAAATTCTTATAAATAGACCCCTGATTACTTTATAAACTGTGTCTCCTGTCTCTTCTGTTTTTTGTTAAATTTTGTCTTCTCTTTTCAATTTAATCTAGCAAAATATATTATGATTTCTATTCTTGCTTGCAGAGTATATGCCTGGAGGAAGTCTGTATGATTACCTGCACAAAAGTCATAATGTCTTGGAGCTGTCTCGATTACTAAATATTGTGATTGATGTTAGCAAGGGTATGGAGTATTTGCATAGAAACAACATAATTCACAGGGATCTGAAGACGGCAAATCTGCTGATGGATACACACAATGTAAGAATTTATGAAAATTATCAATTTGGTTTCTATTCATGACAAAGTTATCCCTAATACAGTGGGTGTTATCTTGTAAACAACATCAATGACCAAGATTTATGCAATCATCTTTGGGCTTGTGTAGTTATATACCAATATATAGATGGATTTCATTATTTATTTCTTTGGTTGTGTGATATTACCTACATGTTTTTATGATTCATTTGTTTACCATAAATAACTATAATAATTCTATTTCAAGCTACAAGAGTGTACATGACATTACAACTCAGCCAAAGCATGTGCAACTAATATTTATTGAAAATGTGTATATTAAAGAATAGTTTTCTATTCTTGGTTTTTCAAGGTACCAATAATTGCGTATGAGTACAATCCTTTGGAATTAATGGGGAAATCAGTTGTACAGGTGCTTAACTACATTCCTAATTTGTTGGGGAAATCAGCATAACTCACATTTCTCTTCCTTCGTCAGGATCTTTTGAGGGTCTTAGTCTTAATATGAAATCTATGGGATTTGTGTTAACATCAATTTGTGAGTTTTCTCTTGGGAAAGGAGAGTGTAGAAAATCAGGATTAGAATCTTTCCGTTTTTATTTGGGATGCAATCATATCCCTGATTTATAGCCTATTAATTAGAGATTTATTTTTCCCTTTAATAGGGATTTGAATTAGTTTCCGTTTTTTTCTCATTTACTCTTGTATAAATATACATTTTCAGTGTAAATCAAAAAGTATCAAATAAGAAAACCTTTTGTCTTACATCTTACAATAGAGAGAGATAGAAAAGGTAAAATTACTATTGGATCTTGTAAGAATCTAATTTGTCATTTCTTTTCTGGGAAAAGAAACAAAAAGTTTTATTGAAGCAGAACTATTCCGAGAAGTTTTCTTTTTCTGTTATATTTATCATGCTACCCTATTTCTTGACTTTTTGGTTGAACAAGGTTTATAGTTTCATTTTGAGTTTTCATTATTTAGGTTTATAATATGTCTTCTGATAGTTAGGAAACACTCCCAGGAGATTAACTAAACTTATATTTGATATTTTTATCCAGATTGTCATCCTATGATGTTGATGAACCTTTTTTAACCTTTTACAGAAAAATCATGCTCCGATTTAGAATGTACGCTACAGACTTGTACTTTTGTGTCATGTAAACTGGGTCCTTCCTATATTTGCTTACCTATAGTGTTATAAAGGTATTAGAAGTGCATAAACTTTATGTCAATTTCTGTTGCGTCTATTGACTTTTTAATTTGATCAATTTAAATTTCTTTTTTTATAATATTTGGAATTCTAGTCTCTATTCATTTTTTCTGCTGTACCACTAATAGAAGTTGCTCATGTGATGCAGAACTTATTAAAGAGAATCAGGAACCAAAATGCTGTAATAAAATGACCAGAATGCTAATATATAACTCATTTCAATAATATTTAAATATTTTCCCTTTGTACTAAAAGTTACTAGTGATATTATAGGGATTTAGGAGGGAAGGGAGAAAAGAGAAAATAAAGAGTGAACAATATGAATTTGGTACTGATTTGATATCTTATGATGTGGTAATAATCTCTATTTATACTATTAGAATCCAAATCATAATTAAATAATGAAATCAATCCTGAAATATAAAGAAATAGGGTTCTATTTCTAAGAGATCATATAAAATACTTTAAACTATTCTTAGATACAATCAAAATATCATGAGATATTCTGAGAGTGGTGAACCGTGACAATAAAAACAGTGAAAAAATTGAGAATTGGCATGTCTGGGTGTGCTATGGTTGGTAAGAAGAAAAGAAACATGGAGATAATGACATCTTTACAAAAGAGTTTCATATATTAGGGTAGGTCAAGGAAGGAAGTGTGTGTGTTTAATATAACCTCTTAATCACTACTAAATCAAGACCTCTAAATCATTCCACAATATTTGCCAATGCTCCATAATACACGCTGGCGTGGACCTATTTTTCCATTTAAGGCCATGTCTTACTATCATTCCACTTAATTTTTTTCCCCCTCTTTTCAACCAGAAGAGCACCGACACTGTCTCAATTGAAAGCTCAAAATACTGGGAACAACTCCTTTCATAGTCTAGCAATGAACTGCAGTCTGTAATTACAATTGAATTCTCAATGATAGTTATTTTGTTCTGCTTTTATGCATGGTGACGTAGAAGTTTTAACCTCCAACAAACTGCTCAAACTCCTTATTATTAGCCCACATCTGATAACTTTATTATTATTATTATTTACTTGATAAAAGGCTTTATTCCATTGTTAACAGATGAACTTAATCATCATTTTTGTGTCAAAGTTACCATATCTTATGATAGCATATTGTTGAATTTGTGCTGTATATTTCATAACAAAGAGGAAATGATCCATGGAGGTTAGTGCAGTCTAATTCAATCCTGTACGATATAAGGTTGGGCCAATTGTAGCTGTATGCGATGTCCAAATAACACAGATGGATTGGATGAATATACAAATATAGTAAGCCACAAGTTTCTTTATGTAGGTCCAAACTCTGCATTTTCGATTATCAATGTATTTGTGGAACTCTGGATTTATTAGCGAAAGTTAGTAGTATCCTTTGTTTTTCTCTCTTTTCTTTTCTTCATTTTTGGCATTTAATGTTCTAAAAGATCTTTTATATTAAATTCTAATGTGTGATACATGGAATTAGGGATTTATCTACCCACTTAGCATGCATGTTTAAGACCACCAAACACATGGATCAACTTGTAAGGGGTTGTTCCATCTTAACAATTAGTCTCATGTTCGAGTTCTTGGAATGCAGTTGTGTTAAAACTTGGTTGGAAGATCTTTACCGCTCATGTGGTCCTACCCTTCTCAATCAGACTAGTCGAATAATTGATGAACCGAAGATAATATCACAAAAAAAAAAAAAAATTGCATGTCTAAGAGCAATGCAGTTCCAATATATGTAATACATTCAGTTTTAAGCCGCACATCGTACAATTCCAATATATGTACTAGTTAGTTGAAATTTGGGGTAAATTAAACTTTCAGAAATATTACACTTTCATATATTAATTTAATGACTTGCTTGTAATGTGTATGAACTGATGCTGGTGAATTTGTTATTGTGATTGACATTAGTTTTACTTTGTTTTGGATAAAATATTCCTTTCATGTATGTACTTTATTTATTTTATATAAATGTACTATGTCAAATATAGTTCTTTTAAATTTTTTTCGTTTCTTATTAGGTTGTTAAAGTAGCAGATTTTGGAGTTGCTCGGTTCCTAAATCAAGGGGGAGTGATGACAGCAGAAACTGGAACATATAGATGGATGGCGCCAGAGGTTTGTTATTTGAATATAACAAAATAAAACCGTCAAGCTTTTTGAGATTCTGGTAGCAACTTTGGTGTCAAAGTAACGTCATTTTAAAGCCCAAGGTTGCCAGGCAATTAATAATATTGACTTCCTGTTTCTTAATTTGTCGACTAGTTGAGATAACTTGTTTTATTGAGACTCCTATTGGCCCCTACTGATTTAAATTTTCATTTTCTTGTTCAACCTGCACCACCATCGATTCTCCAATGAATTAATATCATTTGCCTTAAGAGTTAAATTTTGTACATCTGACAAAGATAAGATATACTCTTGTAAATAGTGGTTATTTAATTATTATTATTTGTTATATTGGGCCAAGCCCATTAGGTCAAGTATTAGGTCAAATATTAGATTTTTCATTCTCTATAAATAGAAACCTCTTTGTACAGATTATTTACACAATTTAATAATATTTCAAATACCCTTTTCTTTCAAGTTGGTATCAGAGCTCTCGATCCTGAGGGCTCTGCTTCCGCGCCTATTGTCTTTAGAACAAAACCTTTTATTTATTTATTTTTCGTCTCTCGCCATTAGCCGCCACCGGAATTTTTTTTTTCCGGGGACCTCTTGCACCGAGAAGACCTCTTTTTCCTCATCTAACCGAAAGAACTCTCGGTAAATAGCATAATCAGCATCTACCCCTCGACTTTTACAAAACCTAGAAATCAAAGAATTCAAGGTGCTAACTTTGGGGCTAATCCCGCGAGAGAGTAACATTCTAACGATTTCAATTGAAGGGTCAACCTTTTTGGATTCCAAACACGCTTTGATCAACAAATCGAACACGAACGGTGCCGACCCACAATCTCGCAGGTGACCAGAAATCAGCACCATTGCTACTTGCCACGTGTACGGTGCATCCCACTGGGATCAAGTAGAGACCCATGCTCTTCAAGTCCCTCTTCACTTCCTCTCCCTTGTTATCTCCGTCCCCATGCTGATGCAAAAGTTGGTGGTTTGAGGCAGGCAAATGTTGCAGGTAAGGGGAGCACAGGACCTGAACTTGGTCATGTAGAAATCTTATATACCCCATGGCCTCGTGAAGCACTGAAGTTGTATCTGTCTGCGCATGCAGTTTCAATATTCAAAATTTCAATCAAAAACCCCATTTTGAATATTCATTGATCACACAAATTCACAAAATCCCAATTCTAAGAAAACTGAATCTCGTTCACCTTGCCGAAGGGTGAAACAAGCTGTTGTAATGCTGCAATTCGTTCCCCAAGCTTCTAAGTGAGAGATATATTATATAGTCTCATATTGTTTAACGAATTGTTCGAAATAGCAGAGGAAGGAGAAGCTTGGTATTTTTTTTGTGATTTTTTGGCTTCTTGGTGTTATCCTTTGACCATTTTTTGTGCAGTATGGCCTCTTCTCAAAGGAGTTCCTTTACAAAGTTTTACAATGGTGCATCTTCTAGACCTAAGAGAGATGATCGATGGTGTTCTTATTATAAAAGAACAGGTCATATCAAGGATTCATGCTTTCGCCTCCATGGAAAGCAAACTGTCTTAGAAAAGATGGCAAGGATGCGTGGTCAAGCGCATTTTACTTCCTCTGAAATAACTCTTGCACCTAATGAGACCCTACCTGCATTTCGTCCAGATGAGTTGGAACGGCTCCGAACCATCCTTGATTATCTGAGTAAGCCATCTGATACTAGTGCTAAGGCTATGACTGGTATGAGCTCCAAAACTCATTCTTTCCTTTCTTCATGTAATGATTTTAAACATTCTTGGGTTGTTGATTCTGGTGCTACTGATCATATGGCTTGTTGTGCTGACTCCTTTACTTCTTATCATCCTACCATTGGAACTCATACAATAGCCATAGCTGATGGCTCACATACATCAATTGCGGGTTCTGGTGACATAAACTTACAGCAGTCCTTACATCTTAAAGATGCTCTTCATGTTCCTAAACTCTCCACGAATCTTCTTTCTATTCATAAAATTACAAAAGATTTGAATTGTACTGTAACATTCTTCCCTACCCATTGTGTTTTTCAGGATCTCGCCACGGGGAAGACGATTGGTAGTGCTAAAGAGCAAGGTGGGCTGTACTATCTGGTGTCACAATCTCCCGCAAATAAAGTAACAGATCACATCTTGATGTCTCATGGTCAATCAACTGTTGATTCTTTGATTTGGCTTCATCATAAGCGCTTGGGACATCCTCCATTTAGTTTACTCAAGTCTTTATTTCCGTCATTGTTTTTGTCTAAGTCTGTTGAGTCTTTTCATTGTGATGTTTGTGAATTTGCTAAGCATCATCGTGTGTCTTTTCCTTCTAGTAGTTCTAAGAGTGTTGAACCTTTTGATCTTATTCATTCTAATGTTTGGGGTCCTTCTAAAGTCCCTCATGCTTCTGGAAATAGATGGTTTGTTTCTTTTATTGATGATTGCACTCGTGTAACTTGGGTTTACTTAATGCGTGAAAAATCTGAGGTACCACATCTGTTCTTTCAATTTTATAAAATGGTTGAGACCCAATTTGGTAAAAAAATCAAGAGACTAAGAACAGATAATGGTACTGAAAATGTTAATCACAGTTTTTCCCAATTTATACGAAATAACGGTATGATTCATGAACTTACTTATGTTGACACCCCTCAACAGAATGGGGTTGCTGAAAGAAAAAATCGTCACCTTCTTGAAGTGGCTCGTACATTAATGTTTCAAACACATGTACCCAAATACTATTGGGGAGATGCTATTCTTACTGTAGCATTCTTGATCAACCGTTTACCCACTCGGGTACTTGACCATGTAAGTCCTATAACTTCTTTTTTCCCAACTATGAGTCTTCCTCCACGAGTGCTTGGGTGTGTTGCTTTTGTTCATGTTCATAAACATCATCGCAGTAAGTTGGACCCTAGGGCTATTAAATGTGTTTTTCTTGGTTATGTTCCTGATAAGAAGGGCTACAAGTGCTATCACCCTGGTAGTAGGAAATTTTTTGTTTCTATGGATGTTACATTTCAAGAATCTGAGTCCTTTTTCCAAGGTCCTCATCTTCAGGGGGAGAATCCTTCACCTCTTTTCTTTGAGTCTTCAGTGTCTACTCCTTTACCTGTGTCAGTGTATCCTCCTCTTGTTCCTGTTCCTCCTGTGTTTGATCCTCCTGTGAGTGATCCTCTTGTTCCTGTTCCTCCTGTGTCTGATCCTCCTGTGAGTGATCCTCCTATGACTGATACATCAAGTACACCAGAGATACGGAAGATTATGACACCTGAGTTGGTATATCAAAGAAGGAAACAACCCACATTGCCTCAGCAGCAACCTCAATCGTCTGAACCACTGGTAAGTCCTGAATCTCATATTTCTGATCATGATACTTCTGATGACTTACCCATTACTACTGATTTTGATGATTTACCCATTGCTCTTAGAAAAGGAAAAAGATCTTGTCCTAAGAAATCTTGTTCCTCCTGTCCTTCTTGTACTCAATACCCTATCTCCCATTTTGTTTCCTCTGCTAATCTTTCTGTGCAGCACTAAAGCTTTGTTTCAGCACTAGACTCTATTGCAATCCCAAAATCAGTACATGAAGCCTTGAAAGATGGGAATTGGGCTCAAGCCATGCAAGAGGAGATGAATGCGTTGGAGAAAAATAAAACATGGGAGGCTATTGATAGACCTAATGGAAAGAAAGCAGTAGGGTGCAGATGGGTTTATGCCCTGAAATATAATTCTGATGGAACTCTTGAGAGATACAAGGCTCGATTAATTGCCAAAGGTTACACTCAAACCTATGGCATTGATTATGAAGAAACATTTGCTCCAGTTGCAAAGATGAATACGGTGAGAGTCTTGTTATCCCTTGCTGCCCATTACGATTGGGACATAAATCAATTTGATGTGAAAAATGCCTTTCTCAATGGTGAGTTAGAAGAAGAAGTCTACATGGAAATCTCGCCTGGTTTTGATTCATTGAAGGGAGAAAATAAAGTTTGTAGATTAAAAAAGGCCTTGTATGGATTGAAGCAGTCACCTCGTGCCTGGTTTGGAAGGTTTACTAAGGTTATGATGACCTTAGGATACAGACAGAGTCAAGGAGATCACACTCTTTTCTTCAAGCACTCCCATAATGGGAAGCTTACTATGCTCTTTGTATATGTTGATGATTTTGTGGAGAAACAGATTCTGCAAACACGGCTTGCCTCTGAGTTTGAAGTCAAAGACCTTGGGAAACTGAGATATTTCCTAGGGATAGAAGTAGCTCATTCAAGGAAAGGAATTTTTATCAGCCAGAGAAAATATGTTCTTGATCTTCTCAAAGAAGCAGGAATTGAGCAGAATCACAAGATAGGCTATGAAGAGAAGAGTCCTCCAGTTGATAAAGGACAATATCAACGGCTAGTTGGGAAAGTGATATATCTGGCTCATACTAGACCAGACCTAGCTTATGTTGTTAGTATTGTCAGTCAGTTTATGCACGATCCAAAGGAGAAACACATGCAGGCAGTAGAGAGAATTCTTCAGTATCTTAAAGCTACTCCTGGTAAAGGATTGTTATTCCGACGTGATGGCAATCTCTCTTTAGAAGTTTACACTGATGCTGATTATGCTGGATCCGTGACTGACCGTCGTTCTACAACTGGTTACTGCTTGTTTCTTTGCGGTAACTTGGTGACTTGGAGAAGTAAGAAACAAGATATGGTCGCCAGATCAAGTGCAGAAGCTGAATTTCGAGCTATGGCTCAAGGCATTTGTGAGTTATTGTGGCTGAAAATTATACTTGATAATCTCAAAATAAAATATGAGGGACCTATGAAGCTGCTATGTGATAATAAATCCGCTATTTGTATAGCTCATAATCCAGTTCAACATGATCGGACTAAACATATTGAGGTTGACCGTCATTTCATCAAAGAGAAACTTGATAGTGGGCTGATTACCACTCCATACATTCCCACTGGGCGTCAATTGGCTGATCTATTAACAAAGGGACTTCCTTCAGACAGATTTCAAGAACTTACTAGCAAGCTGGGAATGATAAATATCTATTCCTCAGCTTGAGGGGGAGTGTTGTAAATAGTGGTTATTTAATTATTATTATTTCTTGTATTGGGCCAAGCCCATTAGGTCAAGTATTAGGGTTTTCATTCTCTATAAATAGAGACCTCTTTGTACAGATTATTTACACAATTTAATAATATTTCAAATATCATTTTCTTTCAAGTTATACCTTGTGCTTTGGTATTTGTAAAGGGTATAAATGCAGAAGAATATTGAATTTTCTTGTGCATAGATATCTGAGTTCTGTCTATTGATATCTCCTGGTGTATCATGTTCTAATTTATTTAAGTAGGTTATTGGTCTTCAGTTTTTTCCTTAATTTTTTATATTTTGTAACTGTTTATCCATCTGTCGCCTTTGTTTAATATGTTTTGTTATTTATTGGACAAAATAAGAGATTTTATAAAAGAAAGAAGGATCACACGGAATAACATAAGATATTCTAATAAGATATTTTATCCATCTGACTTGCCATTTCTGAATTTTCACAACACACCATGCACATGATAGGTGTTGAACTTTCTCTCCTTTTCTTACACTTGAATTCAAATAATGAAACTGATTGGATGAAATTATGTATCTGTAACAGTCCACACATAGTCTATATATATTAGTGTTAGTACTAATTATAGTGATTTAATCTTGGAAATGTATAATTCTAAATCCGTTCCTAACTGATTCTATAATATATACATTTATCTTTCACATACCTTGTGAGACATCTTTCTGGTTCTGTTCTTCATCGTACCTTCTACTGCATTTGAATGATGTTGCTGGAAAGGTGGCGAATTTTGCTCATTCATGCACTGGCTACGTTGCTTAAGTCCAGTGGGACTCAATGGCGTGTGGAGAGTTGAACAGCATTGAGATTCGAGGGGTCTGGACCATAACAGAAAAGAAGGGAGAGAGAGAGAGAATGAGATCTGATTTCTTTACAAAAACTGATACAAGACTTTGTCTATATATAGATAGGAAACTTACGCAATAAACCAAGAGCTGAAGTAACGAAGTGTGAGGTCATCAAATGACACAACAGAATTCTAACAAAATAGCAGAATGAAAACAGAAGCTAACTAATGATCTATCAGATACTGATTGCATACTCTATTACCACCACTTGGATGGGACGCTTCTGATCCTGGTGGTTTTGAGACCAGATCCGAGACTTTCAGGCCACCCGAAAGTTGATAGGCGGCTAAAACTCACCGGAAAGATTCATGGCAAAGAGGGCTTTCCTGCATTGATGCATAGCAAGGAAGGAGTGACCGCTGAGTAGTGGGTGCAATGGGTTTAGGGTATTTTCTGATAAGCAATGGGCGCAACGGGGTTAAGGTCATCTCTCTGATTACAGCTTGAATTCAGAGAATAGAACTGATTGGACGAAAATGTGTTTGTTACAATTCACACAGCCTTTATATATATTAGCTATGTTGCACCAACACTTCAAAACTTGAAGTGTTGTGTCCGACACTCTGACACTCTCCGATACTTTCTGACACTCTAATACGCTCCGACATGTATAATATTTGAAATTTTTTTACATATCATGAAAAAATTGATTGATGTTTTACCAAACTGATATAATAAAAATTATAAATGGATACTGAATAAATCTCACTGGATTGTATAAGAGATTTTCAATTTGAAAATATAATAGTAAATATTTACATCTTATGTTTCTACGCAAAATTGATGGGTATTATAAGTTTGGTTTCATTTTTTGTTAAATTATTGAATATTAAATATAATATACACTACATAAATTAAAAATATTATTTAATATCAAAATGTATCCTAACATGTTGAAATCTAATATTTTTTAGAATTAACGTATTGGAATGTCATGTCGTGTCGTGTCCCGTGCTATTGTCGGTGCAACATAGTATATTAGTGTTAGTATTAATTACAATGATTCAATCTCATATATATATTAGTGTTAGTATTAATTACAAGACTAAGTATATGAAGTGTGAGTTTTCTCTGGTAAGAGATGGAGATGAAGATCCTGTGCATCTACTTGGACAAGAGGTACCCAAGAAAGATGCTTTTAGATACCTAGGATCAATATTGCAAAAGGGTGGAGAGATTGATGAGGATGTAATCATAGAATCAGAGTACGGTGGATGAAATGGCGCAGTGCATCTGAATTTTTGTGTGACTGCAAAATTCTCCTTAAGCTAAAGGAAAATTCTATAGAACAACAGTAAGACCTGCAATGTTATATGGAGTTGAATGTTGGTCAATACATAGGCAACATGAGCATAAAATGGGAGTAGGAGAAATGAAGATGTTAAGGTGGATGTGTGGTTATACAAGGATGGATAAGATAAAAAATGAGAATATTCGACGAAAAGTAGGAGTAGTATTGGTGGCTGAAAAGATGAGGGAACATAAATTAAGGTGGTTTGAGCTTGTAATAAGAAGGTCTCTTGATGCTCTCGTAAAAACAAAAGTTTGTTACCAAGAGCTCGATACAAAGAGAGGTAGAGGTAGACCGAAACTTACTTGGAGGAAGATAGTAAAACAAGACTTAATGGAGTGAGATATAGATTGGCGGACGGTGTGTCTTAGGACAAAATGGAGAAAACTATAAGCATGGTATAGGGTTAGACTTGTTGTTATTCCTCTGTTCCAGATAGTCCATTTTTAGTCCTTTTTCTCTTCATATCCCCCCTCTCCTTTTCCCATTCTTTTCTTTTTTCTCTTTTGCCCTTCCCCATCTTATTTATCTTATCTTTTTTTTTCTCGCTATACCCCTTTTATTTATATATATATAATTTTTGTTTTATCTATTTATTTATTTTTTACTTTTATTTCTAGTCCTTTTCCTTTTTATCTTTCTCTCTTTCTTTCTTCCTTCTTTTCTCTTATTTCATTTTTCCTTTCAATCCTTTTTAACTTATTTATTTATTTATGTGTTCTTCTTTTTCTTTTTTCTTCAAACTTTTCGTATCTTTCATTTGGGTTCATCTACCATCATCCCTAACTAATTTGGGATAAAGGTGGTGTTGATGTTAATGTTGATGTTGATTCCTTATTGATTCTACGATGTGTATATAATATGGATATTCTAACACACAAAATCTAAGCCAAGCTGCCAAGATTGAAGGAAGTGAGCAGAAAGAGAATAATAGAATACTGTTAATTCAGAATTTCTTTTTTCTAAACTCAATAATTTTCTCATTGCTACTTCGCAAACTTGCTACGTGATATACTTGTCTCGTTCTGTTTAAACTTTCACTATCTTATTGTTATCGGATTTTTTCACAAGGTTATAAACCACCAACCGTATGATCAGAAAGCAGACGTGTTCAGCTTTTCCATAGTACTATGGGAGTTAGTGACATCAAAGGTATGACCTAAATTGGAACTATAATATTTTATTGTGTTATTATATTCCTTGAACAGTATGATTTTTTATATTTGAAAGAGATTGCTATAAAATCAAATTTTTGTCATGTATGTGGTTTTTCAGGTACCATATGATGCTATGACTCCACTACAAGCTGCCTTGGGTGTGAGACAGGTTTGCCCTTGTATCAGTAGGATTCGATTGTTTAAGCATAGTGTTTCCATAAATTATTGCTGTAAAGCTGCATGACAGCATACATATCTGCATCTACACCTCTTCTTTGCAACTTAGCATTTTGTTGCTTCATTTGTTTGTTTGTAACTCTTGAACCGGGGTTTGCATATACAAATCTTTTTCTGGATTTTCCTATCAACTGAAGCAAAGGGTGAATCAATAATGGATGTTGTACTTATACCCTCATATTTTTCGTGTAAAAAAACACTGCTCTTTTTTGTTAGGAAATAACTATTTATTATGTTTGGAGTCATAAACTTGGGGATAAAATTGCTAGATTTCATTTGTGCTTGAGATTGTGTCTCGTTGGAGGATATATCATGAGTAAGTTCTGAACTCTATCAATCATTACTTTGTCTGCGATATGCAAGTAGTGTGATTTGACTGATTTAAGTACTTTTGATACATCTGCTTTTTTTACTTCGATAATTTTGAGTAACTGCTATCATGTTTTACATACGAGTGCTTCTAAATGTTAGCCAGAATAGAATTCAACTAGATTCGAGAGTGGGAATAAAGTAGTAGGGACGGCTCATCCATCCAAGAGCCAATGAACATGCCAACTCATTCTGTCTAAATTTTGGCAAAATTTTCCTGGCTATCTAGCATTTTCCCTCATAAATTCTATTAGAAAGAGATAAATGCTGAATTAATTTGAAGGGTCATAAATCTGACATGACAGAAGTTATAGCTTATAGACAACAAGGGGATGATCATCAAAGATGTAATGGTGAAGATGACTCTGTATTCAGATGACAGAACAATAATTCATGTACCTCAACCTACTCATTGGTGCTTTAGACTTAGAGTAGTTGTTATTGTGCAAGCATTTGGAGCTTTATATTTGTTAGATATAAAACCATTCAACGCTTTCACCTAAAAGCCTATGCTTTTAGGAAAGTTGGTTCTTGACATGATATAAGAGCTTCAAGTGCTTAGGAGTTCAACCATTACCACCTCTATTCTTCTAATAAAATGTTGGATTTCAATACTAGGTAAAATGAGCCTATGTATCTATTCATGTTTAAAACTCAAAGGGTTTTTGCGTGAGGATGTATATTGGATACAGAGGCGGACCAGTGTTGTTGCCTATGTCTGCACGACACAAAAATTTGATAATTTTTTTTTAAAAGGGGTGGGTGATTTAGGTCAAGTAAAAAAAAAATTAGGAAGATTGAAAAGAAAAAAGTAAAAATAGGCCCAAGCTCAACCCAACCAACCCATATAATTAAAAGCTTAAAGTTTAAACCATACCCCATTCCTTTGTCTCTTTTTCTTTTTTTTTAAACATAAACCTTATTAGCTCCAAACCTTAATGGACATCAATGATTCTTGAAATTCAATCTTCATCAAGTTTAGGAGAATCGCATGGGATTTTTCACATTTTTTTGTGAAGCAAAAGTGGTCAACTTTGGATCAAATAGACATCGATAGAAGTTGGTTTTTGATCAATTAACCCGCTACAATTAATACATTTAAAATTTTCTTTAAAAAAAATCTTCGCGGGCGCTGCCCCCGAACCCCCACCTTAAGTGTGCACACATAATTTTTTTTTTCTGGGTCCGCCACTGATTGGATATATAAATCGTACATAAGCCTTTACCTAATAGCTTAATGTTTCAACTTTCAACAAAAAATAAAATTAAGTAAAGTAATTGTTTTTCAAGAAATAAGTGTCATGGACAAACTAAAGTGTTAGGTGAAGACATATGAATTACAAGAGCCCCAACAACGATCACTTGGTCATAGAGGCTCTGATATCACGTCATGAACCAACTATCCCCAAAGGTTAAGCTCTTAGATGAAAGCTAAATTATTAGGTGCACATACATGAATGATTTTATATTGTATTTCTAACAATAAGTATGCTAGCTCGATGAATGTGTGCTTATGGGAGCATATATGCAGTAATAGTTGGAGCTGCACCTGTATTTATGTTTCTGGGAGTCTGTACAATACAGTTGCTGCATTCAACCCGGAGGACCTACTTTGTGTTTGATCCAAAGTTGATGTTTGAAATCCTTTCAGGGTCTACGCCCAGAACTTCCAAAGCATGGGCACACTAAACTATTAGATTTGATGCAAAGATGTTGGGAAGCAGTTCCAATCAACCGGCCATCCTTCCACGAGATAACAGTCATACTTGAGAATCTTTTGCAAGAAGTTGAGGTAAATTATTTTTGTTATTATTTTGAAAACAAAAGCATGTAATTTAGCTGGCCTGATTTTTCAGCTGTTCAAATTGCAGAATGATTCACAAGCTAATGATGATGCTTGACATTTTCTGATAAAATATTAGATTCCAGTTATTGTCAGGCAGTTGGGTGAGAATCTGGCTTTTTCTTGTTTCTGTTTTTTTGGCTATTCAAGCTAGAGTTTTTCATGTTCCTTTTTTGCACTGTGGGAAAAAGGAGTTCACAAAAGCTGACCAATACAAAGAGAGAAATTGTAAAGAAACATACTAATGTTATAGTTGATAATACATCCGATATATAACCAAGGCAAAATCATGTTAAACTGCATTGTAAAAAGTTGTTTTCTTTTAAGGAGAGAAATGTGTTCCACCCGGCTATTCAAATGGGTTCTCTAGTAAGTGAACTTCAATTGTTGTAAAAAGTCAATGAAGGACCTGGTCGAATTTTTAGACCACGTTAATAGTAGTTTGGGTTTGATTTTCAGGTTTTCCTCTTTTGGTAAATAATATATAATTTTACCATAAACCCTCGTTGAGGTTGGAGGTTGGTAGTCTTCACTTACCTTGCAATTTAAACTCTCGTGTACCAAAAAAATGTCAATGAAGTAAATATTTTGGGTAATTCGGTTGAGCATATTGATTTGGGTTGTAAATTAATGACAGGTATGCTGCATATACCGCAGGTAGGTAGACTGGCCTAAATGTGATCTGTTTGTCTTCCTTTTTTTTTTTTTTATAAATTTTTTCCTGCTGAATTATTTTTAGTGCCGAATGAATTGGTCCTCAATCTAGAATTATATAGACAGATCACGAAAGTAGAGATTTTTCACCTTTTTTTTTTTATCTTTATGAAAGTTTACATGTTAAACCGTCCTTGGGGTGCATAATCCCGTTAAATGTTGAGCGATTATGCACGGTTGTTTTATTTGCCACTATCAGTCTAGCACCATGGTTAACTAGACGATCCATCATTACTTACTATTAGCATAATTGCTTCCTTTGTGCCCATTTTGGTAGTGAGATGACTCTACTTAACGGATCTGGATCCTCTTATGTGAAGATTCACATAATCATGTCATGTGGGGAATCGTAATCATACAAAGGTGGATTAATAGTAATAAAAGAGGAGAGAAAAAAAAAATGTTAAAATAGATAGTTACGAAATCATAACCGTTGAAATACCTGGTCATGATCTTCCCACATGATCATATCATGTTTCTTTTTCACATGAGAGGATCTATTTTCCTACTTAATGGGCAATATGATTTTCCTTTTTCTTTTTTATTTTGTGTTTATGTATTTCATTCCTTTGAGTCTACCTTGATCACCTCAAAATATTCATTTTATGTTGCTATTATTTCCAATGGTCATTCTTGGCAGTATATTTTTATGGATAACTTGGTACTTCAATGTGATTTTATTTCATATCATTTTAACAAAATTATTTTAAACTAGTATTCTCAATATCATTCCCAAACACTAATTATTTTAACATGAACTTATTTTAAATTTAATTTAACTAAAATTTACGCTAAAGATACTCTAAAACTATCAGTGAATAGGTTAATATTATATGTAATCGCTTTTCTTTCAAAAGCAGTCTGGATGCTTTTTGTTTCCTTTCTCCCTTTTGTCAAAGCAATATGCATAAGTTTAGCGGCAAATTGAGTCTGATTCCACCCATTTGTCGTACCCAATCAAAAGTTAAGTTCACTATTATTGTTATGTAAATAATATCAAGTTCAGCTAGCAAAATTGTGTATGGTAAAAACAACTAGTCTACCAAACAGACATGGCGAAATTGGGCCAGTTATATAATTTGGCTTTTTTGTTTTCTCAAGTACAATTCGGCTTTTTACAAACGGATGGATTGGTTGGGAAGTCTCCAACCTGATTAAGGAACTTTGGCAACTGCAGGTACACTCAAAATAACAAGAAATTATATCAAATATAAAAAAGAAATTATTCTGATGTTTTTTTTTGGTAGAATTAACTAGTCAATTAATATATTTTCTAAAAACGGATGTCATGATTAAGAAAGCATTTAATATTGTTGGGATATTCAAGTGTGATGAGTCTCACATTGATTGGTAATGGACTAAGTGAAGAGTATATAAGTGGAAGGACCCATGAACCCAATGCCTTAAGGTTTTGGGTTGAGATGTGGTGTCGGACCCATTTGGTGTACTTGGAGTAGCGTAGCTCATTGGTGGTGGTCCCCCGCCACGGGCTTCCCTCTGGACCCGTCTGACAGTGGTATCAGAGCAGGGTTGAGCTCGAGCTAGCCTGGTGATTGGCTAGGAGGCGGGTCGAGTACTTTGCGCTTGGGGTGCTCGGTTGAGGGAGAGCATACCAATGTTGGATTTCACACTTGAGGGGGAGTTGTTGGGATATTCAAGTGTGATGAGTCTCACATTGTTTGGTAATGGGCTAAGTGAAGAGTATATAAGTGGAAGAGACCCATTCAGGGTTGAGACATGCTGTTGGATCCACTTGCTACGGTTGGTGTAGCCTTAGCTCATTGGTGGTGGCCCCCGCCACGGGCTTCCCCCTGGACCCGCCTGACAGTGGTATTAGAGTCAAGTTGGGCTCGAGCTAGCCTGGTGATTGGCTAGGAGGCGGGTCGAGTACTTTGCTTTGGGTACTCGGTTGAGGGAGAGCATACCAATGGTGGGTTTCACACTTGAGGGGGGGATTGTTGGGATATTCAAGTGTGATGAGTCCCACATTGGTTGGTAATGGGCTAAGTGAAGAATATATAAGTGAAAGGACTCATAAACCCAATGCTTTAAGGTTTTGGGTTGAGACATGGTGTCGGATTCACTTGCTATGATTGGTGTACTAGAGTTCCATTCCCGTTCTCAACCTATGACCCATATAAGCTTGAAGTAACTCATGGAACTTCTTCGCAGTGGCTCCGTTCCATGCCTCATTTCATGGGGAACCTCAAAGTGGCTCTATTTCTCATTATATTCCATCCATATACTAATTCCATTCATTGAATATCCCTATCTTGGATGTCATTGAGATAAGAGATGTCGTTTCTAGTCTATCTCTTTCTATTTATATATATATTCTATATAGAATATATATCGAATATGGAAAGTTGAAAAATCATAATATAATAATCAAAAAATTGCAATAGAAAAGAAAAAGAGAGGTTTGCAATGATTTTTCAATCTTTTATACGGGATAATCTAGTATCCTTATGCATGAAGATAATGAATTCGGTCGTTGTGATCGGACTCCCATTGGTGGTGGTCTCCCGCCACAGGCTTTCCCCTGGACCCACCTGACAAATATGTGTTTTATTTTTTGTTTTATTTTTACGAAGTACTATAATCAATGTGGTTAAAATACAAAAGATTCAACTATAAGCCAATTCAAAAGACTCCCTGTAATTCAAAACTAAAAACTTGATTATTGACATACTATAGATAGTGGTTTTTTGAACATGCAGAAAGGGTTACTTTTATACCATATTGCACAATGTGATAAGTTTAAGGAGCTGACTTATTGAGTCTTAAACAATTAAAAAATTAACCTCTGGTTGGAGGAGGGTTCAATGCATTTTTTTTTTTTTTTTAGTATTGCAAAGGAGCAAAAGCCCAAACGAAAAGATTACAGGGATTGAGGATCCGAGTCCAAGGATTCAATGCATTTTTACCTATATACATGTTCGATTTCTCTCTTTGTATTGGGTTTTTTTGACCCTTTTGCCTCTCATTAATTAATTAATAATTATTTTACCCTTGATTCAAAACTATCTACCAATCTGCTCCTCTTTAATCGATTAACTTGCATTTTTAATCGATTAAATGGTTGTTGGAAGATTTAATAAATCTCCCTACTTAATCGATTAAAAAATTATATTGACTTGTTTTCTTTTGTTACTTGTTGGGAGATTTAATCGATTAAATAGGGAGATTTAATCGATTAAATCTCCCAACAACCATTTTTGCCTATTTTGATCATTTGATCGATTAAAAAATGCAAGTTAATCGATTAAAGAGAGACAGATTGGTAAATAGTTTTGAATCAGGGGCAAAATAGTTATTAATTAATTAATGAGGGGCAAGAGAGTGAAAAAAACCCTTTGTATTGTTCTTTCTTTCTATTTTATTCAATATGTCTGAATAGATATATGCATGGACCTCTCCAAGAACTGAAGATTTTTAACCCTGAACCAAATGGTTTATATTTAATAAGTATGGAATTTTACTTACAAATCCTCATAGAACAAGTTATTACATAGGTTTACCGTTAAACAAAGTTTGTCAACTTCCCCGTTATTGTTATTCTTAAGAACTTTTAAAAAATAATAATACTTTTTTACATTTATGCACCAAAATCTGTCACACTTGCATAAAGTCATGACTCAAACTTTTAGAGAATCCAGCGAAACCACAATTCACACACACACACACCCCTCGTTTTAAAGAAAAAAAGAATTGATTTATTAGCGTTTTAGTATTATCAAAACTTTTACTCATTTCGACCACTTACATTAATATTTTTTAATTATAAATTAGCAGGCAAGCATATCCTCCCTTGTTGAAGGAGCACAGATGAATTCAATTAACAGTTTTGCAACGAATCTAAAGAAACTGGAAGAATTAGTTGAACTACTGTTCATTCAAACATATATTTAACATTTAACTGCAAAATTATTTGATGAAAAAATACTGGAAGAATTATTTGACGTTCACACATAGAACTTAATTAATCAGGGAACAATGAATAGCTTCTCTATGGATTCCTCCATGATTCAACTTGCTTTGAATTTAAAAATTCGAAAATAAACATAAAAATCTAAAAACGTTATGTTCTAAAGCTCGACCGTCAGAATTAATTAATAGTTTAGTACAATCTAAATTATTCTTTTTCTTTTTGACCTTTTTGTTCATATAATTTGAAAATTTATTCTTATCAAATCTCTCTAGAAAATATGATTATTGAGGTTTTATTGGAGTTTGAAATTCATGAGAAATTCTTGATGTGACGGTGTTACCGTATTATAGGTACTGTATTCAAAGTTAACATGTACAAATTGATACATTCTTTACATATTGGTACATAATTAATTCCCAACGAGTCTATGTACAGAAATACACATGTTTAATATTTTTTTAATTGATACATGTACAGAAATACACATGTATCCCAAAAAAAAAAAAAAAAATCGTTAGTTCTAGGACATTTGTTTCAGCTATACTGTTTGTTGATTTCTCTTGAATGTTAGGAAGAAAAACAGATTGCAACGGCCTTTATATTTTCACACAAAAATTGGTTCGTTAAATCAAATAATCAATCACGGACATTTCTTTCAACTATATTGATTGGTACCATTGACCAATGTTTAAGAAGAAAAATAAATGTTAGGTAATTGATTAATTATAATAATAAACTTATGATTAATTTCGATGGCATTTTCCTCCTAAATATTTCTTCATAATGCACAAACAATCTTACATAGGGGAGGTTGATTCATACAAAAATTGGTTAATTTTTGTTATGTCTATTATTTATCTATATAATTATTAATTTGCTCTTAATTGGTCAAAGAAGAGGATCCACGAAA